TATTTATGTTATAAAGCATTTTTTTTTATTTGCATTCATGTCCGGGTTTCCCTCTTGTCGTTGTAAAATCAAAGACCGTCTTGAAAAACAAATAAACCATCAGCTGGAGTGAGAGAGAGAGAGAGGGAGAGAGGGAGGGAGAGAGAAAAAAAACAAAGAGGGGAATTAACCTTATCAGAACAAAAATGTGAGTGTTTCTCAAGTGTGGTAAACCCAGGATTAGTGATAAAAAGACCAATATTATTATTGCCTGCACATCTGCATCCACATCCAAACCCACTCAGATCCTCCACATCACATCCTCAAATTACACTGATACAAAAACCAAGAGATTCTTCTCTCCCCCCACCACATACACACACTCCCCCTCCACACACACACACACTCCACCTCCACACACACACACACACACACACACACACACACGTATTTGGCTTAATATATGTTGTTGTTGTTGTTGTTGCAACATCAGACTAGGGGCCACTTTCCTGCAGAATGACACTGCGCACACACTGCAGTTCACTGAGCAAAGCTAAGACATATTAAGATATTTGTTAAGTAGATCATCTGACAATCCCTTCCTCGCCACATTCAATTGTAATGCAATTTACAAACCCCCACCCTCCACACACACACACACACACACACACACAACCCCCAAAATCCCATCTGATTCAACATCTTTCTCTTTCAAACATTTCTGTTTTCGCTTTTGAGGAAATTTGATATACTCCTCTTATGCAAATTGGAAGGAAAATTGATGCCTTTATGTTGCAGTGTCCAGATAGCATTCAGTGGGATACAAGCTAAGACAAGGTTGGGGCTATTGGAATAATGGCTTTATTGTAACTAACTCACTGCAGAAAAAGCACCTACAATACCAGAGCAAGTTCTGCAGGGTAAATCTGGAGTTAATATTGCCTCTTGATTGTCAGTGACCACAGACGCTAGTATTTCCTGATCTGCTGTTCTTCATTAAGCGTTTTGTGGCTTTGTGTGTATTAATGGGTAGCAGAGACTGCAGATTGATTACACTGACCTGTCACGTATCTGAGAAACCTTTTTTTTGATTGTGCCAGTGTAATGAAAAGGAGATTGAGGGAGCTGACAACACTAAGGTTTTAGTAATGTAATAATGTTGTAAGAGACACTTAAATTACCTGCTTGATGTATATTCAGCAATTTCAGCTGTTAGGGGAAAAAAATCAATCCATAGTACAGTAACTTGTCCCTCGTGTGCTGGGACCAGCTGTAGACTGCTTTTCTTAAGCACTCTTCGCTTAAAAGTTTTATAGGCAAACCTCACTGTCTTGAGGGCCTAATTAAGTTATTAGAATGAAAATAGATGCAAATATAGCTTTAATGCTTCTCTGGGTTTAGTGCGGAAACAGTGTGTGACGTTCCTCTGAGCCAAATTATTAATTCATTATGCTGTTCCAACTCTTTGAGTATTATTATTCCGTCTACAGTAAGTAGTCTATAAATATTAAACTGAGCTGCCACAGGTGTTCTACATAATAGGGCCGAATGTGTTCAGGCCTATAAAAATCAAAAGAACAAGAGTAGTGTCGAGATCAGAGGATGTTAGTGCCCTGCTCAAAACCCACCTAATTATCGACTGTAACTGAGACATCCATGTGCCCACCAGAGCTGTGCTTGTACCACAAACCGAGGACAACTACATAGGGCAAAATAAAATGCCAGGTTGAGAATGTGAGCAAAACAGGATGCTACCAGACCTACACCATCACCGAAACTATCAGCCTTGGACCACTCCCCTTATGATGTGCCCCACTTAGTTGTGTGTGCCTTCTCCTTGGCACCTCTCTCTGGAGTCATTAGGAGCTTAATACGTGTACGTAGGTGGGTATAGTAGGTGCTGGTGAGTTCATGCCCTGGCTATCCGTAACACAATGAATCAGGGTGGGTTCAAATTGGGGCTGTGCCTTTGTCACTGGGTTGCTTTGAAACAGGAAAATGACGCAAACTCGTGTATCTTGCTTACACTTCTGTTTGGCACACTGCAGCTTGCCCTGTTATAATAATACCAATCTTCGCATTTGATACAGTGCCTTTCACGTCAGGAGGATGTCTTATTTGTGCATATGGGCAAAACTGGACCATTTTGCAAATAATCATCCTTCAGCGAGGTTAAACTAAATGAGCAATCTGATAGAATGTGTCAGCTGGCGTTACTCGCTGTAAAATTGCAGATCTGGAAAATGACAGTTATCTATCAGTGGTAATAATGAGCATGTTTTATGCTGCAATAAGAGACCTCGAGCTGCTTTCAGCTCTCAGTCCCCCATTCCAGCATAAATCATAGTAGAACGATCATTATTACCGCGATGAATCAAGGAGTGCAATTATATTCCTATTTGAATTTACAAATTTATTAAAGAGGCTTCCCTGCTAAGTTTAAAGCAATGTTAATGCAGCATTTCTGCTAGCATAATTTGTTTAAAAATATTAATCTGTAGAGTTATGTATATATATTTCTTAAAAACTGTTTATAAGGAAAAAAGAACAAAGTGCTCCATATCTTTGTGTCAGGCCACTCCTCCTGCAGCTGAAGCAGAACAAGAAGTTGTGTCTGTGATTCCCAGCTTTCCCTCCTCTTTCTGCCATCCTTAAACCTCAATGCCAGTTTCACAGATCGTGCAGACCCTGTACACTCACTATCTCTGCTATCCTTGTACCTAATATGAAATAGATGGAGTATGGTGACTGCAAACAGTGGAACCTTACACAGGCAGTGACTCTAGACAGGTGGAGAGTGACGACACTGGAGAGAGGTAGAGAGCAATAATGCCGGACAGGTGAAGAGCAGCTTCATTAGACAAGACGAGAGCAACAACTTATAACAGAGGCAAAGAGCAGCGACTTGGGACAGGCAGAGAGCAGTTACACTACACAGGAGAATAAT